CGCCGCCGCCGCCTTGCTGCTCGCGCCGCCGCTGGGCGACTTTACCGCGCGCGGCGGCTTGGGCGCCTTTTGCGAGCGGGGCGAGCGGGGCGACGGCGCCGCCGCGTCGCAGCGTCCGGCGGGCGCGTCGCACCTTGAGTATGGGAAGAGGGGGGGGGGGGGGAGTGCACGCCGAGTGCTCTCGTCTCTCCGCCACCTCTCATAATGGGGGTGGGGTGGGGAGGAGGAGGGAGGGAAGGAGGGAGGGAGGAAGGAAGGGGAGGGGGGGGGGGGGCACCCCCGGGGCAGCATCCAAAAACACGCGGGGGACTCCGCGACAGGCTCCCTCTCCGTACCCTCGACGCCGCACCGACCACAGACGCGCGCCTGTGCGTGCCCGCCCGCCGCCTCGGCCGCCGCCTCGGTCGCCCCCTCGGCCGCCGCCTGCGCCGCCGCCTCGGCCGCCACCTGCTCGTTGTAGAGCGACTGCGAGTGCAGCAGCTCGTCGGTGATCCTCCGCTCGATGGGAGGGAGCAGCGTGTGGCAGCCTCGGAGCTTGACGCGGACCTACGGGACATGTCTCGGACATGTCCTCGACGTGTCCTGGACATGTGGCAGCCTCGGAGCTTGACGCGGACCTCGCCCGTGTGCCGCGTCGCCCTCGCGCGCGGCTCCTCGTGCTTCCCCGACGCCTCTTGCTGCGCGCGCAGAGACGGCTTCGGCTCGAGCAGCGCGGGAGAGGCAGGCAGCCCACCGGCCCCCTCCTTGCCCCCGCCCCTCCGGCCGCCCCTCGCCCCCCGCCCCCCGCTGGCGGCGGGGGGCGGCAGCGGCTCGAGCCACGCAACCATCGGGATCGCATTCCGGTAGACGGCGCACTTGTGGTTGAACTGGTACAGGCAGCGCACCAGCTGGAGAGCGTCCGGCGTGGCGCGCAGGTGCTGCCTCGCCCAAAAGAGGCGCGCCGCTGGGTGGACGTCCGCCTGGGTCAGCATCGCGGAGGGCACCCCTCGCCGCCTCGCCTCGGTGAGGAGGATCGCCTTCAGGTAGTTGACGAGGCGCGTCCCGTGCCCGTGTCCAGCCACCGACGGCTTTTGGTCGACAAAGATGATCTCGACGAGGAGGACTAGCAGCGGCGCCGTCTGGCAAGAGACGAGACGGAAGGTGGCGCCGCCGATGACCGAGGTGTGCTCGCGCAGCGAGATGGAGTGCGCATCGGGAGACGCAATCAGACGCGCCAGGTGAGAGCCGGTGCGCAGACCGGGCAGGAGCCGGTCGCAGAGCGCCTTGTACTCGCGCAGGCCCTCGGAAAACTTGAAGCCCGAGTTGCGCCTGCTTTTTAGCGTGTATGCACCCGGCTGCGAGACGATGCTCATCTCGTAGCGCGGGACGACGTCCTTCGGGTCGGGCGGCGGCAGGAAGGGCGCAGCCGCCGGCGGATCCACCTCAACCTCGAGGACCCAGGGCGGCGGCGGGAGGTTGCCGTAGTCGCTGTCGTCGCTCGACGAGTGGCCCCCGTCGGCATCGTGGGCGGATGACATGGTGGAGAGGCACGAGAGGGGATCTCTCGCGCGCAGCAATCTGTACGATGAGGCAGCGGCGGCACCGCCAGAGGACGCTAACACGGCAGCCGCGCGTCGAAAGAGCGAAAAAAAAGTAAAAAATCTGCCCTGCGTCGTGGGCTGCGGCTAGATGCGCAGTAGCCATGCGGCGTGATCACAGTTGCACGGGACTTCATGCAGGTAACTCCGCGTGCACCTCCCAGGTTTCTCACGACAGAGGGCCCTGGCGATGGGCTCCACGCACAGAACCACAGGTCACTGCATCGTGTATGCCACGCTCGCATCATGCCCATGCCCATTTCTCCGAATGCGAGATGGATGGTGCAGCTGCTACCGCGGGTGGAGCAGCTGCCGCCGTGGCTGTGCTCACTCTGCGCGCGAGTTGCGATGCAGGAGGTCTCGTTAAGGTGTTGCTGCGCAAAAGGGTGGGGAGCCGCGGCGGCGCCGCAGGCGCGGGCGCGCAGTGGAAGCACGCTAGCCATACACATTCACGCAGAGAAGCTGAGACGGGTCGGGGTCGTGACGGCTCGAGGCACGAGGGTGCGCACTCGCCGGATTGACCTGCGAACGGATCACGCGATGCGAAAGCACGGGCCCAGGCGCTTGCACTGGCAGCGGCAGTCCCCGTGCGCTCGACCGCCGGCAGCAGCACGAGCTTGTGTCGCACTTCTCGGAGGGGGCGCGTCCGACCACACCCCTCTCCTTAAAATCCCTGTGTGTGTGTGGTGGCGGCGTGCCGTCCTCCCATCCCTCCCTTGGGTTGTCCGTTTTCTTTCTTTTTCGCGTCCGCCCAGCGGCCAGCGTCCCCTCTTCGCACAGCGCCCGGGGAGCGAGCGTCCGCTCTGCGGCCAGCCCGCTCTCCCCGCGTGGCGACGACTGCTCTCAACACTCAAGAGACAGTTTGCATTCCCGCAGGGGCACCCCTTTTTGCACCGGCCGGCACCCCCCCCCCCCCCCCTGTGTACGCGTACATGTCTGATCCTCCTTCATGCACAGTCCAACTGTCCAAGGCCCGCCTTAGCGGTGCCCCAAACCCCCCCAGCGGAGGCCAAAAAAAACTGTGTGTGCCTTCGCTTGTTCCTATTAACAGGATGTTGCTGAGATCAGCAGGAGGATGTACGACGAGATTAGGAGCAGCAGGGACCCGAGGGACCATGTGGAAGACGGCTAGTGCTAGTCCCCCATCGGGAGGACGACCCCGGCTAGTCGCCGACCACACCCACAAAGAACCCTGCACAAAGACCGCAGGGCGGGGACCTGTTCCTTTTTACCCATCTCCTAGTAGAGGTGTCCGTTTTATTTATTTCCTATTAACAACGAAGTCTAGCTCAAAAAAACTTCTAGACCAGCCAACACTTGTGGTCACTGCCATGCGCTACCCTGAAGCCTGAACACCCCCCCCCGGTACCCCCGAACCCACCCGCCACTTCCCCCTTCTCAACCCCTCGGGCACCTTGTGATTTTTGGGTCAAAATCGTCCCGATTTCATAATGTTCGTTCGTACGTGCATCCGCGGCGCCCAGCGCGGTGCCAGCGGCTCCCATACCTCTAAGAGGCCACCCACCTCCGTATAGACCCTTATATCCGCGGTTTACGCCCAATAGAGGCAGCTGCAAGAGGGCCCGGACGGGCACTGCGGCACACACTGCTCGCTGCTCGGCCATGCGGTAGCGTCCGGTGATGCCGCCCCTGCGCGGGCGGGGGCGTCTCGCTCGGCAGCAACTGCGCCGCGCAGCGCAGGTTCGAGGGTCGCGGTGGGTGGGTGCACTGGAAGACGTAGCGGTCGAGAAAGCGCTCAGCGACCGCTACGTCTCGAGGATGGAGCCGTCGCGCGGACCCGACCGGCCGACCGGCAGTAGCAGCAGGCGCCGGAGGGCGCGGGAGGCAGCGGCGACACCTCGGGCCAGAAGCGCGAGCCCTAGGCTGGTGAGGGGGCCCGCTCATGCGTAAACGGCTCTGGGACTTAGCTAAATCGCGCATCGAAATCGGGACGATTTTGCCAGGGCACCGTCACAAGGTGATGTCCGCCCCCGCAAGTCGGGCGCAGAACCGACACCGAGGGCGGGCGCAGAAACTCCGTCTGCGTCGCTCCTCCACGCTTGCAGGGCCAGGCTGCGTCGCAGCTCCACCCAAAAACGAATTCCACTCCGAACCGGGGGACCACGCAGGGCGCAGCACCTGCAAAAGAAATCCCAATAGCGAAGCAGGGATAGCCGTTGAGGAGAAAGGGCGCAATATATCTTTCTTGATAGCCCCGCGGTATCCGGCCCCTCCGCACAATTATTCGTTGTTCGTTCGGCGCCGACCGCCGTCACGGGCCACTGCTATAGGTCGCCCCCCGCCGACACCTTGGGCCTCTCCTTCCCGAGGTCGCAGATGACCAGGATCTCGACGACGGGCGCGACGACCACGACCGCCAGCGAGACAATGAGGAGCACCCACAGGAAGGCGTTCGGCCCTGCGCTTGGCTCATAGGGCGCAAAGGGAGGCTGCGGCGGCCAGGACGGTGGGTACGGAGCCTGGGGCGGCCAGGCGGGCATCGGCGAGGAGGGAGGCGACCCCTCCCCTGGTGGTGGCGCCGGCGGGGACGGCGGCGCCGGGGGCGCCTCCTTCCACTGTTCTCTCACGACGAAGATGATGAGGTAGATGGTTGCGGCGATGGGGATGAGTCGGCAGACGAGGGCGCTGATGAGGTACCTGCGTCGCGCCGCGCTGTCCTGTGGCCGGCAGCACATTCCTGAGCCCGGTCCGGCGGACAGTAAGCCAGCGATGATCATGGCAACGGATGCGATGACTCCCGGCGCCGTTAGATTGGCGATGTTGGTGTCCTGCGTCCAAACCCATCCCGCCCACGCGAGGACGAGAGAGTAGACGAGAGCGAGAAGCCCCCATAAAACAGTCGCCACCCCGAGAGCGGCGAGGAGGACCTCCTTACACCCCAAGCCCGAGCAGCCCATCACAAAGCCACTCTCCGGTACCTAGCTAGGTACCAGGTAGCGCTCTGCTCACACGCGGCTCGCACGCGTAGAGCAGGGGTAGCCGGGAAAGGAGGTCGGCTTTTCTTTCGCTGCACAGTAGTGTTTTGTTTTTTAATTTTAGGAAAGCGGCGAGTCGCAATTCCCGGGTGGGGTCCTTGTGGCGGACCACCCTGTCCAGAGAGGCATGGATGCCAATCTGGGGTCTTTCGACCGAGTCTAGCTGTGTTGAGAAGAAAATACTACACGTGCACACTTGGGGACGCTGTGTGCGGGGCGGGCCCCTGCACACAACTGCCCAGGGACGACGGCAAGAAACCCAAGGGTGAAGTGAAACGAGTGGGGGGGAAATCTGTGAGTCGAAGTGCGAAGCACACTCATTGGGTGAAAGGCAGAGTTTGTCCCTACCTACTCACGCCAGTGTTCAGAAAACCCGGCGCCCCCCCCTCCCCGTGATTGCTGCCGGCGTGCGGCGTGGCCTTCTTTCGCAATTTCTTTCGCGGGTTGACGAGCCCTCGAGTGGGTGGCGTGCGCTGCGACCGACGATCCGGCGGCATGGGCGGCGCCGCCTGCGCCGACGGCTCCGACTGACCGACCGACGCGCACGGGCACGCACGCAGCCTGCGCGGCCTGCGCGGCGTTGCACGCCAGGCCTCTCTGTGCTCTCATCACTCGTCTTGTGACGCGTCCGACATGCCCTAGTGCTAGATGTGTGGTCCGACCGAATCGGGCATCCAGGGACTTGCCGCGCGGAATGCGGCGCTTTCCCCACCGAGAACGCGAGATCGCGATCGCGTAAAACTTAGAACGCACGCGGCCGTGCACATAGAATGCTGCGAGTCGTCGCCGCCCTCGCACTTGCGTCCTCGATTGTCGGCGCGACGCCCACTGAGGCGCGCCCCGCGCTCGTGCGCGGCGGCGGCAGCGGCGTGCGCGCGAGCGCGAACGGGACTCCTTTGCCGCTTACGGCATCACCCAAGCGCTCAAAGCTTCTTGCTGCGGCACCAACGCCCTCCGGCGGGTTTGACGTGTCTCTTCTCCTCTACTTTGTGTTTTGGTACGTTGGCAACGCCATCTACAATATGTACAACACCATGGCGCTCAAGGCAGTCGGTGGCAAGCACGGCGGCCTCACGATGACCGTGTCGACGTTGCAACTTGGCATATGCTCTATCTACGCCGGCATGCTCTGGCTGAGCAAGGTCAATCCCATCAAGCTTCTCGGTCTGCAGAAGCCGGAAAAAATGCTTCTGCCAAAGACGACGAAAGAGGATCTGGTCGCGACGCTTCCCGTCGGCTTCTGCGCCGCTGCGGCGCACTCTGCCGGAGTCTTCTGCCTCGGCGCCGACCCGCTCTTCGGGCAGATTGTGAAGGCGGGCGAGCCGGTGATGTCCGCGTTTGTCAACACCTTCTTCTACGGCAAGCCGCCCAGCCTCGCCAAGGTGTTCTGTCTCTTCTTCATCGTCGCCGGCGTCGGGTTCGCCTCGCTCAAGAAGGGCCTCGACGGCGCCTACAAGCTCAAGTTTGACGAGCGCGCGCTGATCTTTGGCATGATTGGCAACTCGTTCGCCGCCTTTAAGGGCTCGGAGAACAAGAAACTGATGACCAAGCCAGGTCTCAAGGACCGGATGGGCGGTGTCGCCAACCAATTCGCGCTCACCGAGCTGATAGGCTTCTTCATCTCCGTCCCGGTGATGGTCGCCACAGAGTGGAAGAAGTTCCCAGAGTTTTTCCGGCTGCTTGGATCCTCCAAGGAGCTGCAGGTCGGGCTGGTGCTCTCGGGAATGTCCTTTTACCTCTACAACGAGCTCGCCACGATGACCATCAAGAAGACCGGCGCCGTCACCGCCTCTGTCGCCAACACCGCCAAGCGCGTGATTGTGCTTATCTTCATGTCGGCGGTTACGGGCAAAGCCCTCTCCGACGAGCAAAAGATTGGGGCAACCATCGCCATTGCATTCGTGATGCTCTACTCGGTCATCGACGACCTCGTCAAGAAATTCAAATCTTCCTTTGTCGAAAAGGTGAAAGCGAAAATTCGCTAAAAGGGCGTGAGGATACTTCGTCCCGCAGGCTGCAGCGGGGGTTGCGAGGTGCGGGGGCCCACGGGGTGCGGAGGTGAGGGGGCGGGGCTTCTCCACCTCTTGCCCCGCTGCCGTGCGATGAGTGGAGAGAAGTAAGGTGAGGATCGGGAAACGAAAACCTCTGTCCTCGTCCTACAATCATGCTCCCAAAATGTCCGCTCTCATACACGCATCGCGGGTTTTCGCCGCGCGCTTCTCGTGCAAGGCTAGTATCCGACCCACGGCCTCTGAAAGATTCCGTTCCGTAAAGACCGCAGGGCGGGTTAAGTCCCTCATTTACCCATCTCTAAGTGAGAGGGTTCTCTCCGTTCTTTTTGGATGCTTGTATCGTATAAGAAAGAGCATGCACAATGTATATCCCATGACTACTGCTCTCCACAAACCTCAGAAGGCTCCGCCGGCGCCGCGGCCGCTGCTCCTCCGCCTCCCACCTCCGGCGCCACCGATCTCTGAGAGGCCTCAAGCTGCCTCGCTATGGACGAGAGCGTCGCCTCGTAGTGGGCCTCGCACCGCTCCAGGCGCTTACCGCTCCGGCCTCGGCAAAGGAGCCGCCACGCGCGCGCCGAGCCGCTGACCATAGAGCGGAAGGCGCGGTCCTCCAGATCGCCGGTCGGCGTCGCGCCCTGCGGGCCGCCGCCAGCAGGTAGCTCCTCGAGGCGGAGCGCCTCGCGAGCCTTGTACATGGCAAAGACAACCTCGAGGACAAGATCCGCCGACGTCCACTCGCCATCAAAGTCCTCCGGCACGTGGAAGGACGAGAGCGGTCTCCAGCCCGCCGCCCACGAGGTGGCGATGGGGTGGAGGAAGAGAGCCGGGTGGCGATTGGCCTTGCTAACGTTCCAGAGCAGCTCCTCGCTCCACACGCCCCGGTCCGAGTAGTCCAACTCGATGGTGATTGCGGCGGCGGCGGAACTGCTTGGCAGGCCGCCGAGCGCGTCGGCAATCCAGGGCTTGGGCACCTCCTCGAGGTAGGTGGCGCTGCCATCGGCGGCGAGGAGGACAACGTCAACGAGGATGCCGTTCATCTGGTACAGCCCCGAAGCGTCCTGCACGCGCCCCAGCCCGTGCTCAAGGGCGGCCTCGAAGCCGCCAAACCGCCTCCTCGGCCAGGGAACCCCAAAGGAGCGCTGCTGCAGGTAGCGTATCTGCGCGCGGATCAGATAGCGGAAGCCATGGATGAAACCGCCAGCCGACTGGCGGTAATCGACCGAGTGCATGAGGACGCCCGCGTACAGCTTGCCCGCCGTGCGCAGGTCCTCCCAGAAGGGGCCCACGGGTGGGAATTTGCCCCTTCCTACGCCGTCGCCGGCCGGTACGAGCCCGGGCCGCTGCGTCGTGAAGCCCCCGGCAAAAATCGCAACCCGCTCCGGCCGGATCGGGTCAGCAGGCGAGTCGCGGTAGAACTCATGGTATGGGCTCGCACACGCACCCTCCTCCCTCCGCACCGGGGGCTCGGGCGGCCCTTGTTCCCTCCTCCAGCCGCGACTCCTTTCGAGCGTCTCGCGAAAGCTCCCAGGCCAAGGCATCTGGCCGGCGCCGTCGGGGCCCTGGTCGATGAGGAAACGGTCGCGCATGCCCGTCAGCTGCCCAAGGCTCTTGAGCTGGTAGCGGTCCAGGATGCCCGCGTTGTGCACTCGCACGTCACCGACGTAGTGCGTGAGGAAGGAGAATCGTGGCCGGTGTTTGTAGACGAGGTTCGTCGAGTGTGCGCACGCGGAGAGGAGGTCGGCCGTCTCGAAGGCGGAGTTGCCGCTCCCAAAGACGAACGCCGCCTTGCCGCGGCAAAACTCAGGCGCCTCGCCCGGACGCGCGGCCCGCAGCTCCTCGGCCGGGAAGGTCTCGTACGTAAAAACGCGGAAGCGGGAGGGCGCGCGGAGGCAAGCCGGAATCTCGCGGTGGCGGTAGCCAGTCGCCACGATGATGTGGTCGCCGCTCCAGGCCCGGCCATCGGCCGTTTTCACCACGTGCGACCCGTCGGCTCGGCGCGCTGTGCTCGTCACGGAGGCGTTGTAGACTACATCGAGGCCCCGCGCGATGCTGTGGAGGTAACGAACCAGGTCGTCGGCGTCGGGATACCACGACGACGAGAACTCGGGGAAGGATTGCTCGGCGCTCAGTAGCGAGTGCCAATCGTGGCGCAGCGCCCACTCTGTGCTCTTTCCCCGCCCGTTGTTTGGCCGGTTGGCAGAGATGAGGCGCCGATTGCGTGGGTACCTCGAGAAGAAGAGGCCAGCCTCTGCGCCCGCCTGAAGTGAGGTGAGGTAGGACTGGACATCAGTATTCACCGTCACTCCATGCTCGAGGCAGATTGCCTGTGTGTGTGTGTGTGTGTGTGTGTGTGTGTGTGTGTGACGTTGCGCCTCGAGAAGGACATATGAGCAATTCGCGCTTCTCAGCAGCGTGGCAGACTGAAGCCCCGCGGCGCCGGCACCGACTATCACAAAGTCGTGGTGCCGCATACACTACTGCGCGCGATTGCCCTCACCGTACCTGGACCGTGCTCAGCGTGCACAGGTCGTGCCTGCACTGTAGCGGGGACGTACGCCCGATGGTCCGCGGCAATCGTTTCGATCAACTCTCCGACGGGATATCGGCACCGCGTCGGGAGATGATGTGGTTGGTCGCGACGGCTGCGCCCGCGCAGGCCAGGCGCCGCCTTCCCGAGGAAGACCATGGACGCACGGTCGAGTTCCCCGTCGGCACACGCGGCGAGACGCTCTACAAGCGGCCACCATTTGAGAGGCATCGCAAGCTACAGGATGTTGCTTCTGACTACACGTTTTGCGGTCTCAACACCGAGGATTACTCAGTCTGCGCAGGCCAAGTGCACGTGCAGCCTGGAGAGACGGAGAGTGAGGCAAAAATTATGTGGACGGGTCCGATGAGCCAAAACAAGGTTCACGTTCAGTGCGGCGACGAGGCGCGCCAGCTGCGTATTTGTGATGGACAAATGGACTGTTGTCCCCGTGCCTTCCCCTAGCACCCCCGTCCACTGTGCAGACGAGTAGAACTCTCCGTTGGGCAATGAAGCAGCGACGGTTTATTACCCAAGCACCCCCTGCATCCGTTGTAGACGGACGCGACTGAGTATGCGGCGACGAGCTTCACCTACTCGATGGCGATGGCTCCCGAGATGGAGATCCTCACCGGAGCCAGCAGCTACGGCACGCCAGCGCTCACGGGCCTTCCCGCGCGTCCCGACGACCCTAGCGCCACCGACCCTCCCCACTGCAGGCATGGGCAAGCCGACCCTCTTCCCCGGGGAACCAGAGGAGGGCGAGGCGTGGCTCTTTAACCTGCAGACCACCCAGACCGAAGACATGGACGCGTGGCCGAATAAGATGCCGTGGGCGCCGTTCAACCGCGCCGACCCCGCCAATCTGCCGGACGATGACGACGAGGACGACCTCCCAGGACTCGCGCCTCACCACTGGGACAAACCATTCTATTACAAGGCGCTCCCCCTCCCCTCCTTCCCCGCCCCCCCATCGCCATCCCCCCCCAAACACACACCCCGCCTCACACACACACACACACACACACACACACACACACACACACACACACACACACACACACACACACACAACCAACACCACCACCACCACCACCACCAACACCACCACCACCACCAGGTCACCGAGACGATTGGAAGTATCACCGGCTCTTACTACCAGTCGCCGATGATCTTCACAGCGACGGGGGGGGCGCCACCGAACGGTACCCCTCCCCCCCCCCCCCCGCCTCTCTCCCCTAGACTAGATTAGATTAGAGTCGAGCTCGTCGGAGTGGTGTCTCGCCCTCTCGCCCTCTTCCCCACGGCACACACCCTCCCATTCGCAGCCAAGTGCAAGTACGCCATCCCCGACCTCCACGCTCGCCGTCGTCTCCAAGACCCGTCGGTCATCGAGGACTACCCGTACGAGTTTCTTCAGCCTCCCGCACCGGGGCAGGTCTACCCATACAAACTGGGCCTGGCGGCGGACATCGGTCAGACGAGCCTCTCTGAGAAGAACATGAACGTGCTGATTGAGGGCCTCGACGGGCTGGAGAATAATCCCGTTTTCCTCCTGGGGGGCGACCTGTCGTACGCCGACGGCTTCAACCCTCGTTGGGATACCTGGTCCATGATGTTTGAGCCGCTCATCTCCAAGGTTCAAATGCTCACGTGCCCCGGTAACCACGAGGTGCGTCTGCCGACACATCTCGGCAGCCAGCCACAACCTTGCCATTATTCCGCCACCTCGCCACAACCGTCGCAGGTGTCGTCGAGCGAGCAGTTTGTGAACTACGACGCGCGCTTCCCCACACCGTACAAGGCGTCCGGCTCGACCTCTCCGCACTGGTTTTCCAAGGAGGTCGGCCCCGTCCACGTCATCTCCCTCTGCTCATACTGCGCCACGCACCCGGGCTCGTGGCAGTACGAATGGCTTGTCAGCGACTTCGAGTCGATCGACCGCGAGAAGACTCCGTGGGTCATCGTCATGACGCATGCGCCGTGGTACAACTCGAACTCCGCGCACCAGGGCGAGGCGGAGCCGCATCGCGTGGACATGGAGGAGCTCCTGTACGACAACGGCGTCGACATTTTCATGAACGGGCACGTGCACTCGTACGAGCGCTCCATCGGTGTGTACAACGGCTGCCTCAACGAGTGCGCACCCAACTTTATCACCCTCGGCGACGGAGGCAACTACGAGGGCACCTACTACAACTGGATCCAGCCGCCGCCGTGGTCGGTGGTGCGCGAGTCGTCCTTCGGTGTGGCATTCCTGGAGATCGAGAATGCGACACACGCGTACTGGAATTGGACGAGGCAGGGCTGCGAGAAGGGCCCCGTCCCTGGCACCGACCAGGCCATCTCGGTCCTAGACGATGGGCCGCCCGACTGGGCCATCGACCTCGACCCCGAGTGCGAGGGCATGCTGGGCGGCGAATGGTCGACCGACCGCTTTTCCGCAGACCGCACGTGGATCGTTCGCCCCGAGCCCTCCAAGCGCAAGCCAGCGGCCAACTCCGCCTGTCCCGCCAAAAACGACGCGCCTTGCACTTTCCCGCCGTACCCGCCAGCCCCGCCACCGCCGCCTGACCCACCCCCGGCCCCGCCGGCCCCGCCCCCGCGGCAGCACCCCACTTGCAATCCCGGAGACCCGCCCTGCCTTCCGCGAAACCCGCCCTACACGTGCATGTGCGTCAAGCCGGGCGGCCCCTCGCGGCGCAACATGCTCTTCGGCCCCATCCCGCCACCGGACGACGGCGACTGCTACTGCCTCCCGCCGCTCGACGAGATCCCTATGGGGGAACTAGCGGTCACGCATTTCTCGGACGATCCGCGAGAGAACCAGTGCGCCCCTGCCAGCCTCTCGGCGAAAACCTCGCGGTCAAGAGCCCCATTTTTCGCCCCGCCACCTGCAGGCTACTGCACCGCATGGCCGCCAAGTACGACCACAAGAAGAAAGCCTGCCTGGATGCAATCAAGGACTCCATCGCCGTTGGCGAGAACCCGCTCGAGAGCATGCTGGGCTCCTGCTGAGGTAGGTGGGCGCGGCGCATGCGGCGCTGGGGGTGGCGCTGGCCCAAAGCAAAAGTGTTGGGCCGTTGCGAGCCGGCAAGCTCTGCCGCGTCTCGGCCTCTCTCCGCTCTTTCAGATCCCGCGCCGCCCCCGGGCCGCCGGGGACAGATAAGTGTGTCTACCGCGCTGCACACACACGCGCGCGAGCCGCGAGCACACTCGAATCTCGATTGCGCAAGGTCGCGTAAAAACTATGTGACGCCAATCCTTTTTTGCACACAGTTTGGAAGAGTGTGGCCTAGGCGGGTAGGCCTAGGCGTGGGTGGCGCGCGCGCGTCCCTTGCGTTTTTACTCTAGTGTAGCTGTCTCGTGACTCGTTTGAGAATGCCCCCCGCGCCCCACAGCCCCGCGCGAACACACACGGGGCGCGGTCGGGGCTCTGGCGAGCGGCGTCCGCGGACACCGCGCAAACCCTCGCCGTGAACCCTCGCCGTGCCCCCGCCGCCCCCATGCACGTCCACGGCTCTCGTTCCACCGACTCACTCACAGGGCCCAAATCGCCAGCAAAGGATTTGCCCCGCCCCCTCGGGTGCAGCCCGCCACCACCCCGCAGGAGCACCACTGCGTCGCTGCCTGCTCTTGCCGCCGTCCCCACTGCCCCACCCGCTTCATCCGCAGCGAGCAGGCCGTCACATCTCCACCTGCTTCATCTCCTCGACCGTGTAGCCGCGCAGCTTGAGCTCCTCCTTCCGCTTGCGGTACAGCACCAGCCGCAGGATCACCAGCCCGACGGCGACGCCCGAGCAGACGCCCGCGCCAACCATCACGAGCGAGTACCCCTTGCGCGGGATCGCCACGCCCGCCTCGTTGGCCGCCTCCAGGATCGTGGCGAGGGAGAGGCCGACACCGCAGTCGCCGGCGTCGTACGCGCACGAGGTGATGTTGCAGCGGAGGTCGCACCGCCCGTTCCCGAGGATGTTTGCGCAGTCGACGGGGCACTGGTTGCGATAATCCATCACGGAGTTGGCGCTCGACTCGCACTTGTCCGACGGCGGCGGTACGGAGCAGAGCTCCCAGCGCGCGCCCCCGATGGTGTAGCACCACGGCCCAATCTCCTCCGAGCCCGGGTTTCGGCAAAAGTTGTGCCCTCCGAGCCCAAAGGTTGGAAAGGCGAGGACAGTCTTGGTGTGCGCGTTGGGCGTCTGGTGCGACCAGACCTGGCACTGGTGGCCCGCCGCCGAGACCGCCACGTGGCCGCGATAGTCGATCCCGCGGCTGTCCGTGTAGCACTCGTCCGCCTCGTGCGAGCAGTCGTGCCCGTCCCAGCCGCACGCCTCGTTGTTGCACTGCTCGTCGCACTCGTCGTCGTCGATCCAGTTGGGCATGCAGCCGTCGGCGCACCCGCTGTCGGCGGTGCAGTCGGTGCCGTCCCACTGGCACGCCGAGTTGTAGCACGCCTCATCGCAGTAGCCGTCGCCGATCCACGCCACCGGGCACGCGGTGGCGCAGTTGTCCTCAAAGCCGTACCCGCCGTCGTAGCCGCAGTCGCCGCCGTCCCACACGCACTCGGTCGTGTTGCAGGCGATGTCGCACTCGGCGTTGCCGAGGCGCAGGTCGTCGCAGCCCGGAGAGCACGAGGTGGCCACAAAGTCGTCGTAGTCCATCATGTCGCCGCCCGCGACGGCGTCGGCCGCGTCCTGCGTGTAGTTGTACAGGAAGAGCTTGAAGTCGCCCTCCTCGAAGCCCGAAACGCCGATGTGCAGCTTGCACTCCTCCTCGTCGGTAAGCGGCGGTGGCGGCGGTGGCGGGGGCGGCCGGGGAGGCACGCTGCAAAAGCCGCAGGTGTAGTCGCACAGCCCTGCCAGAGGGGGCGAGGGGTGTAAGGGTGGCACGGGCGAGAGCGCCGGTGGGGGCGGCTAGGAGGTGTCTGGGAGGCGTCCGAGAGGCGTCTAGTCTCCGAGGTGCCTGGCAGCAGGCAGCTCGGGCAGAGCAGCGTCTCGCACACGCTGAGGTGCGAGGGGCAGTACCCGGGCGTCGCCGCGTCGACGCACTCCTCGGTGGCGGCGACGGTAGTGGCGGCGGTGAGCGTGGCGCGCTGCGGGCGGAGGGGCGAGGTGAATCGAGGGGAGGGGAGGGGAGGAGGGAAAAGGGACGGCGACCTGCTGCCGCCCGTCGAAGTCCTCGCTCGGCTTCCGGCCGCAAAAGAACTCGGAGGAGGCGGGCAGCGTGAACTGCTTGACGCCGACCGACTCGTCGAGCCACCTGAGCACGAGCAGCCAGCGCAGTGAGGAGACGCCGGTCACACACCCAGAGGCGAGTCGGGCAGCGAGGAAGTGATTGCGGGGGTTGCGGCGGCAGCGGGGAGGGGGTTGTGGTCGCACGTGGCGGAGGAGCGTGTGGGACGCGGCTCGCTGAAGGAGAGGAGGAGGTCGGCGTCTCCCTGGATCGGCAGCAGCACCACCTAGTCTCGCGCCCCGTCGGGGTCACACCTCGGGCCTGCTCGGAGGCCGGTACCGGCGGCGGCGGCGGAGGCGGCGGCGAGGGCGGCGGCGGCGAGGGCGGTGGTGGCGAGGGCGGCGGCGGCGAGGGCGGTGGTGGCGAGGGCGGCGGCGGCGAGGGCGGCGGGGAGGGGGCGGCGGGGAGGGGGCGGTGGCGGCGGGGAGGGGTGCGGCGCGCCTTTACGCCCTGCATGCTGGGCGGCACGTTCGCGACGTAGTAGAGCACCTCGAGCTCCTTGACGTGGCCGTTTGCCCTGCGCGGACGCACCCGCGGCGAGGGGGCTGGTGAGGGGAGAGGCGCGGGAGATGCAGCCTCGGGCGGCCTCGGGCGATGCGACCTCGGCCGATCTCGGGCGATGCGACCTCGGCCGATCTCGGCCGATCTCGGGCGATGCGATCTCGGCTGATCTCGGGCGATGCGATCTCGGCTGATCTCGGGCGATGCGATCTCGGCTGATCTCTGGCGATGCGATCTCGGCCGATCTCGGCGGCGCATCACCCCTCGCGCAGCTTGAGCGGGATGAGGCCGTCCGCGCGGGTCTGCGCCGAGCTGAGCAGGCTCGGCTCGCTCGCGTCGCATCTGTGGCCGTGCGGGGTGGGCGAGAGGCAGGCTGAGGAGGGGGGGCGTGCGAGGAGAGCACCCCCGGAAGAGGGGGGGGGGGGGGGGGGATAGGGGGGGAGGCCTCAGGCCCCCGGGGGGCGTGGGTGGGGGTGGTGGGGGGAGGGAGGAGGGTGTGTCGTGGGCGTCTCACGCTCGCTCGCTCGCTCGCTCTCCCTCCCTCCCTCCCTCTCTCCCCTCCTTCCCTCCCTCTCTCCCCGCCCTCCCCCTCCCTCTCCCTCTCCCTCCAGCGCTCACTTCTCCGGCTGCCCAACGTCGCACTCCTCCCACTCCACCTCTGGGTAGTCGGTCGTGTAGCACCACGGCCCAGTCCTGCGTGGGGAGACGTGAAGAGAGGGGGGGGGATGGGGGGAGATATGGGGAGATATGGGTAGTCGGCCGTGCAGCACCACAGCCCAGTCCTGCGCCACGCCAGCTCACACACCCATCAGACAGCGCGGCAGCGCGCAGTCTTGTGTCGCAGCACCGCACGCTAGCACGGGCCACGCAGACCGCGAACACGGCGAATGCGGCGGAAGGCGGCCGAGCACACTGTTGGGTACGTGCCGCCCCTCCCTCGAGTGCTGTGTGAGGACACACCGGTGCGAGAACACACACCGGCCTGTGCTGCCGCAGCTCACGCCTCCGCATCTACGCGCCTGTGCTCTCGGCCGGTGGGGTTGCGGCAGTAGTTGTGCCCACCTGCGGGGGAGATGTGGGGAGATGTGGGGAGATGTGGGGAGATGTGGGGAGATGTGGGGAGATGTGGGGAGGTGTGGGGAGATGTGGGGAGATGTGGGGAGAGGTGGGGAGGTGTGGGGAGGTGTGGGGAGGTGTGGGGAGGTGCGGGGAGGTGTGGGGAGGTGTGGGGAACGTGTGGGGAAGGTGTGGGGAGGTGTGGGGACGGTGTGGGGAGGGTGTGGGGAGATGTGGGCAGTTGTTACCGAGCCTCTGACAGCGCTAGCGAAATCTTAGCCATCGTCCAGGTACTGAGAGTGTGTAGAGCTTACATTGAGGCTTTGGATTTGTTGGGTTG